GACCCTGTGCATACAAGGTAGAAAAGAGAGGATTTAGTGGAGCTGGAACTCCAGCACCTTGGAGAGCTCCAAGCATTCAACTTCCTTCAACTATGCAGGCCTGGTTGGGGGGTAAAGCTCTCATCTCCAAGTGCCCAGCAGACTTCTTCGGGGACTTTCTGCAGAGATCTTTACATTTGCAGTAAACTTAACACACAACAGCCAGAGGCACTTATAAACCACTTTCAGGCTTTCATGATGAGTTGGTTATACTCATATGGAGTATACTATATTCTCATTGGAGTGAGAATATAGCCAACCACCCATCCCCTCTTTCAGTTTACTTCTATGGGTTCCCGCATCATACTGAACAATAATTTGCTTTAAATATGGGCAACTGAATAACCACAATGTCTGAGGCTTCACAAACACTAAGCAGTGAATTTAAGTTGTATGGAAGTTTTTTGGCATGGAATTTTGCTTTAATGCAAGGATAGACAATATTTTTGAAGAAGCAAGCACATTTGGAGCTTTGAGAGTATTTCGTTGGCACTTCCGCAAGAAGATGTACCCAATTACAAAGTAGACACTTCATCATCATCATCATCATCTGGTGAGTTTCTCCTTGTTCCCTTTGTAGTCTGTAAGATGCTTTCTAGCTCCATCCCAATTTCTCCTGGTCTTTTTTTGGGGGGTGGGGTAGGTGGACACTCATACTAGATGTGGCCACACACACACCCCCATTTGATTTTCAAAGAATGGGAAAAGATCTACAAACATTTTGCAGATCTCAGTAATGTTAGAGGTTGGTGTTTCACTTTATAGCATGCTGCATCACATTAAATATGTTCAGTTAAAAAAAAAAAGTCACATGGGGCTGGAAGGCTGACAAGCACCAAAGGAGAGATCCATGGGTACTGTGGCACCCCTGGACACCCACTTGTCTGGTTCAGACTTAATGATTGTACCTGAGAAGGAATTTCTTACCTTGCCAACCTGTATGAAGGTGATGCTGTTTCTGCAAGTACTATTTGCTTTTTAGCACTTACATTATCTATGCCAAAATGCTTTACCTTTAAAGTTAGAGCCATCAAATGTTGACAGCTGCCATTTTGGTTAACATAGTCCATTGGTGTGGCATGTAAAATAAATCTGAGAGCTGAATTATTTGTTAATTCGAAGATACTGTGTTATTTTGCCTGTTTCTATTCCTTTTACTCTGTCTTGAAATCAACAGTGTCTAATTTTGTGACCAGATGCTTTGAATTTGTCTTGGTAACATTTTAAACAAAAGCTGCTGTTTGGAAACATATGCCCAGAAATGAATTGTTGCTTGTGACAGGGGTAGTTGGAGAGATAGCCTTATCCCCAAATTTGAAAAAGCTACTTTTACTAGCTTTTTCTTTTCTGTTGCTTCCAGCATTCTTTTCAAGGATGGATAATAGTTGCCATTTTATTCGTGAGGCCTTCAAAGCAAAAGCTCAAAAGCCTTTGTGCAAGATCATTCCTTGGGATTTGGAGATGAAAAATACTGACCATAGGATGGTGGTTATTTGATCCCAGATGATGATTTTGAAATCTTGGGATGCATTGCTTTAAGATTTATGAACTCTCAAAAGTCTGACGTAGCCAGACAAGCATACACCACAGGCATGGTCTGTTGTAGTACCCCATTCTTGGATGCTAGCAATGTATCAACAAAATAGCTGGAAGTTTTGAGTAAGTAATGTTTCTTGAATGGAAATCAATATACTAATTAGCACATAGACACTTCATGTAAGTTTGAAACGTTGTTGTAAGAAAAGATGTTGGCTCATGATTTGAAATTCCCTTTCCATAATTATAAACTATATAAATTGTCATCTCTTCCTAGAAGAGTGTTCTTACTCTCTCGTGTCCTCTAGTAAAATTCATTTGTTATGTGATGATCTCTCATAGTGATACAGTCATTGCTGGAGACCAGTGCTGAAACTTCATTACCTTTTTCTCCCTCTGTTTTGCCAGTTGAGATTAAATCTTTCACAATCTGTCAAGAAGTAAGCCTTAAAAATGACAAAAAAGTTGCTGAAAGTCTGAATTTCTACCTTAAGGGCACCCGAAGACATGAAATAGATTATAATGCTTTCTGATTTCACACCAGTTCCTGATGTTACGCAGTCATTTTGATATGCTTGCAGAAACTTATCTCCTTTATGTCTTCATGTGATAGCCAGCATTAGTAACACCTTCTCTGTGACATGGAACTAAAGTCAGCCTCCCCAGGTGCACACAAAATTTGCTACAAATCACTTTGAGTGCAGCACAGAAGTTACTCAGGGTCCGTTGGATAGAAAACTAATCCTGTCTTTTAATATGTGGGTCTTATATAAACGTCATCCTTTTCCTTAACTTATAAGGCTTCTATGAATTAATTATAAAACTGACCAATTTTTACTGCATTCATAGGTTTCGTTCTTCTAGTGAAGTAAATGCAGTCTGCAGTTTAAAACAATGGCTTATTTTTACTCAATATAGTATGAATGTGGTGTCAGGTTTTTCTATTTCTAGTTTTATTGTTGCTGGTTCTGTACTGTTTTATATTGTTTTATACTGTTTTATTGGTTGTAAGCCACCCAGAGTGGTTTTTAAGATGGGCGGCCATATAAATGTTTTAAATAAATAAATAAATAAATAAATGTATGTATGTATGTATGTATGTATGTATGTTTCCGATATCGTGGCATCTGAAAGAAGAGTTCTAGGATGGAAGGAGCCAAAATAGCAGTTGATCCAAACCAAGTTGAATGAAGGGGACTTGGTGGCTGCATTGGCACATCAACCCCCCCCATGGTTTGTTTATGTGTGGTTTGTTGATATAGCGACAATTGGCTGAGTTTGCACAAGATGCTAAACTATAAATCAGAATTTACAAACCACAATGGTTGCGTACTGGACTCCCTTCCTTGGATGAACTGGAAATAATTACTCCAAGAAATGACAGTCCAAATTCTGCTTAATCCTTTTTACGAAAAGGGAGATTAAGGTTACAACACAAGAATTATTGCAAATGCCCTGCTTTCAAATGAGATACCTCTATAAAGGCAATTGGGGCTTTTGCTCATTTCTTCCTGCTTTTTCTGAGTGGAGGGCTGGAAGCTTGGCTCTTTTGTTTTTTTGTTTTCTTTTTAATATAAACTTTATTAAATTTCAGTAAAGAATAACATATAAGAAAATTAAGAGAAAGAAAAGAACAGAAAGAGAGAAGAGATCAGAGAAGAAATACAACAAGAAAAAAGTAGGAAAAGAAAAAAAGAGAGATAACATCCGACTGACTTTGGTACAGGCATAGATGTAGGATACATTCACCTCCTGCTCTAACGTTTAAAAGAAGCTTGGCTCTTTGGTGAAGGCCAGACAAAGTGCGACTTTTCACTGCTTTGATTAAGGTTATTCCAGTCAATGGGAGAAGAAAGTCTCGCACAGTGTTCATATGATATACCAATACAAGTTAATCTAAAGCCAAGCAAAACACAGCTTGCCACCTCATACCTCTTTCTCTGGTCAAATGCTGCGTTTTTAAACAGAGATGGGCAGAAGTTAAGGGACCTTTAAGTCATTTACAATGGACTGAAAATAGTTTCTGTCTCCTGGTGGTTTGAGTCATTTTTCTCTAGCCAGCTGTCCTCCAGATATATTGAAGGCTATGTTAACACCAGCAAGTTCTTCCTTAGTCAAGATGTGCTTTTGAATAGATTTTTATGGAAATCAGTTTTAGGTTTGTGTTAGAATTCCCAATCCACATTTAACTGGGGTGTAGTTTTGTAAACAATAAATTACTCAATTTTAGAGCTTACACAGTGAATTGGATAACTGGTTCCTCTCTGTTATTCGGTATTTTGGCTCTATCACTCTCTCTCTTCTCCGTACCTTTCTCCAAGCAACTGTCATGCAGTTAGTTGTACCAAGGTTGGTATTCCTTGAAATTCTAGTTACCAACTACATTCTACTACTTGATGTGTATCTGCCTCTGATCAATGCCTTTTTTTTTTTTTTACTGTGAAGCACTTTCCTTTTATTACCTCCAGCAATATTCCCAGTATTGCTTTTTATTGCTTCAAGTAATATTCTAGATATTAAACTCTTATGTATGAATCATTTTGAGATGTATCTTACTCCATGTGATAGGATTAAGGACAGTTTACTGCAGTTTAGTTGTTCAGCAGAATCCCAGTTTGTTAAAACAAATGTGGCAAGGTTTTAGGCTTGTGGATCTACTTTATTTTATCTATTTGCTATTGGTTGGTTGGTTGGTTGGTTTTGGCAGTGTATATGCTGCCTTTCAAAACTTACAACACTAACACATCCTAAACCCATCATCTAGAGCCAAGCTCTTAATAGTGATACTAGATATATGAGGAAGGGCCAAAATCAGTTACCAAATTGTGATGTGCTTATCTATTACACCTACATTCTGAGATATAGAAATGAATGTCTAGGTATGAGAAACTAAAACCAGGTATTCTAGCAGCCTGATGAGAGAGATTCTGGGGAGGCTGAAAAAGTGTCGAGTTGAGCAAGATTAAAAAAAAAAACCCGCACAGATTTTGGTTAAGTATTTTAATGCTAGTGTGGAGTAAATACAGAATCTTGGAAACTGGAAGAGGAATTTCCCACTCTTATTTAGAGGGAGTTCGTTAGGCTGATTTGAAGCATTTCTTCCCAGGTTTCTCTGCACCCAGGCTAACTTGCCATTTACTATGTGATAAACTGCCAACTGACTCACCCTCTGTCTCTTGATTATTTGTGTTTGCTTTCTATTCCATTCCTTTCCCAGCCTCCCCAAAATCTCTCATAAAAAGTAATGGAAGGGAGAATAGACATAACCAATCTGGAGATAGAACTACCTCTTGTTAGTGTTAGAGAAGTATAAAATAATAATGGCTCTTTTTTTTTTAAAAGGTCTTTCTTCAAAATGCATGACATTGTAATATTCATGTTATTTTATCATAACTTGTTTAATTAAAATCTTGTGTCTTTTATAGGTTTACCTGAATCTATCATTGCGGCTGCGTGTGCCAGAAGTGGTCAACGGGTTCTGCATGTGGATTCGTAAGTCATTTAATCAGTATACATTGTAGCTCTAGGTCCTATCAACCAGTGACATCAGACAGAAGGCTGGCTTAATGGAGGAGATCCTGACTTGACTCTTCCAAAAAAAAAAAAAGCAAAAATCTGAAGCCAAGAACAAACCATAGCTTCTGACTTCCACTTATCAGGTAGGGACAAGCTAGAATTACCACTTGGCATGGCAGGTTAAACAATCCATCGAAAGAGCTTCTGTAGTTTGTTCCATCTTTTCTGCTGGCATGAAAAGCAGGCAGGAATAATTGAAGGATGTGTGCCAGCGACATTCTTATTCAAAGTAAATCATAATTTAGGCGTACTTTCACAAATGCAATGGTTTCCAGGGATCTTTGAACCAACTTAAAATTTGTTTCGTAGCTTAGGCAAATATAGTTTATGCTAGATGTACTAACAGACCATCATTGCATATTCAGTGTCTGTTTATGACCCCATCATCATTGAGAGTCAGTGTGGTTCAGTGGTGAAGGAGTTGGACTAGGGCCAGGGAAATCTCAGTTCTAGTCCCGTCTCAGCCATGGAAGCTTCCTGGATGGCCAGTAACTCTCTCTCATCCCAATCCATCTCATAGGATTTTTGCTGTGGGGCAAAAAAGGAGGGAGTGGTATGTACAGTGCCATGAATTCCTGAATGAAAAGGGGGATATAAATCTATCAAATAAATGTAAATTATTTTATCACATGAAATAGCAAATGGGATAGTGCATAGCTGTACTCAGGACTCATGCTAAAGAAGTGCCACCTATAATATTGGGAACAGGCCATACTGGCCTGGTTTAGACCTAATATTATGCCTTAAATCATAGTATATAAACCATAATGCCTAGGTTCATGCAATGTAGTGAGCTCAAAGTAAGCAAATGCCACGATGATTTAATGCAGTGTGTGAACCCAGCCAATATGTGTTTTTAAATTATGATGCTGGCCTCACCCACTGACCTTCAGCCTGAGTCCATAGGCTTTTCATATAAAGCCCCTGTGAGTTCTTCTGATTCTTCAGCAAAGATGTAGCTTTCTTGCTTCATTCACATCTTCTGAGGGTCGAGGATGCCTGGAGAATGTGACAATCCGAAGACAGTTCCAAATCTCTCCTTATTTAACCAGGTTGAATTTTGATGGGGAGAATAACATTTGGATGCCTGTGCTCTTCGATATTTGCAAAGCAAATAATTTGCTGATTTGAAAGCTCTGTATGTTTGTGTTTCTAAACTTGAGGGGGAGAAAAGTGTAATTCCTAACACTTTTTCCCCAGACTTGGGAAGAAAAAGTGTTAAGAATTAAATTGTGCTAAGCAATGTCTTAACAGTTTACATTTCTGTATTATAGGTTTATGTACAATATTTATATAAAAGTTCCTCACTCCCTTATTCCCCTGTTACAACCGTTATACATATTTGCATTTCCCAAAGCTGAACGGGAAAAAGTTTCTCACTTTCATTTAACTCAGTAGGCTGCAGCGGTTCCTTCTGCAAGCATTTCCAAACTTGGAATTAATCTCTGGCTCTTTCCAGAAATACAACGCCAAGAGAGGAGATTACAACTCAAATTTAGTTAAAGAAATGGCAGAAACTGCTACTGGATTTACCTCTCAAAGTTTAAATCCATGAATTTTGCATGGATTTCTTAGGTGAGCAACATCTGAGATGGGGAATCTGAATATTGGCCAACCTGATAAATTGGTACTGTGTAAACTTTAAATCTTTTATTTTCTGATGGGTGTTAGATGGAAAACATATGCAGGTGGGAGAGAGAAAGTGAGAGTCAAATGAAACTTTTGAAGTACTTTCTGTGTGCCAACGCTGCCTGGATTCATTACCCTAAGAGAATCTTATCACTTTTAATCTCCCACCACTGTTTCATGTTTATCATAATATACCACTTATGTGATGATGGTGGATGGCCTGAAGTGGACCATTATAAACCATTGAGTAGCACCTCTGTTGATTTATAAACACTGTCCAAGCATCTCCCATCCAGACCGCTAATCATATTCAAAATAGTCACTTCCATTGCAGCCTGGTCATAAATTCCTATAGTCGTGTTTTAAAACCAAAGTTAGCTTCTGCCAAATTGTAATTGAAGGGGGCTTTCTTTCTACAAGCTAGCTATCTGTCTCAATAAAATGTTAAAAAAAAAATCATTGGTTCTTTTTCAGAGAGCTACATTTACTGTAGATATTAATGAGCTGTTGACATGTGAAATTTCAAGGATGGATGCTAAGTGATTTAGAAAAGTAATTTGCAATTCAGAATACGCTGCTTGGCATTGACTTTAAACTTGAAGTTGCAAAAGTTTGAATGGAATATAGTTGAAAGTGGTTTGGGTATGCATGAAGATTTTCCTCCCCAGTGACCTCTTTTCCTCCTTTGCAAATCTTATTTTGGGGGACATTGCTCTTGTTTATCTGTAGGTTTGGTTGCTTTGATGGCAGGAAAAAAGAAAACAGGAGAACAATTTATTTCCTTAAGTTCCCCAAATTCTATCTAGCTCTAAAATTTGGTTTATAATTCAACAGTTTTGTCAGTAAGTAATCACTTTTCAATCAGTTTTAAATTAATTGATTAAAGTTCAGGCATTTCTGAAACCTTGGTAGAGCTATTTACACAGGTGGTCCTCAACTTACGACCACAATTGGGACTGGAATTTCTGTCGCTAAGCAATGTGGTTGTAAAGCGAGATGTCACGTGACTGCATTGCTTAACGACAGTAATCCTGGCAGACCCAGTTGCTGTTGTTAACCAAGAATCATGGGTCATTAAGCCACCCCAATCCAAGCCATTCCAGGCTTGGTCCCTCTCAGTCCTGAGCCTCAGTAAGATAAGGGACTGCTTTCAACTCCCCACACCCGGCTGGGACTGGCCTGGGGCGGCGGCGGCTTCCTGGGGTGTGGCAAGCAGACCCAGAGCCATGTGGTTCAGCAGCCCCAGAATCACACGGCTCTGGGACTACTTGCCACACTCCAGGAAGCCATAGCCGCCCCAGGCCAGTCCCAGCTGCAGTTGCCCTTGCCACTCTGCACTCCAAGACCCCTGCTGCCCTGCACTCCACTGCCCCAGCTGACCTTCACCTCCACCTTGCTCCTACTGCTGATGAGGCATGCATGCCTGCCTGATGGCTGGGCTAGGGCTGGGCTTCGTGCTGCGAAAATAAAAAGTAAAAAACAGCCCCTGAGCTGCAACACAGAGGAGCTTTTTGGCACACTGTGGCTATGGGCCTGCTTTTTGTTTTTTTTTTTTTTTTTTTGCAGGACGAAGCCCACCCCTAGCCCCGCCACCACGCACGCATGCCTGACTCCTCCGCAGTAGGAGCATGGGGGG